CCTCTCTAAAGAGTCTGTAACTGCTACACTAGATGATTTTTCAGCCCAAAATCAAAGTAGTGATGCACACACTCTTTCCCCCGAGAAAGAGATGGATGGCACACTACCCCCTTCAATGAATGGAGATGATGAAAATATTTCTGATCCTACAGATATCACAAATACCCCCCCACTTATAACTAACTATGCAGGTTATGACCCAACTACTATTGGACCTATTCTTCAGTCTTTTGAGGTGGATGGAGAACATTATGAAATCAGGTCCTACGTTGAAGAAGCGGAGACAAGTAACTAAAGGGAGGAGCATAACTTCCAAGATGTCCAGAGCAGACGCAGCAAAAAAGCGGGGAAGAGGGGAACTACACCAAGGATGATTAAAACTAGAAGCTACGATCCAAATCTTGAAGTTGGAACAGTGAGTGAGATCACTAGATATTGGCCTAGCCGCAAATCAACCACAATGGAGAAAATCGTCACTACCAAAAGTTACTCTGGGCCCTTTTGGTACGTTGGACCCGTCGGCCCAATTGGAGCAGATGGGAAAAGACCAAAGAAAATAATGCCCAGAAACCTCGCCTTGGATCAGCACCCGGGTTTTATAATTTGGGAATGACCATCTGTTTATCTCTCGTTTCATTTATCATTCAGTTTTACTTTCATGCATCTCTAGAGGGGCATTGGCCTAGTCCTCCCCTCCCTGTACCTTTCTTTTACCTTTTTGCAATAAAATTTTCGTTTTATTAATATATATATATATATATATATATATATATATATATATATATATATATATATATATATCTGTGTGTGTGTGTATGTATGTATGTATGTATGGGCCGGTTCATGTGAGAATGTACTTTGGTGAAAGAAATAAGAATAAAATCTAGCTTTTGGATCTGATGCATCGTGCGGCTCAGATTGCATCCTGCGCTCAGAATCGAGATGGTGCATTTTCAAAGGATTTTGGTGCATTTCGACATGACGCATTTTCAAACCATTTTGGTGCACCTAATTTTGATGCAATCCTGACCCTTAGATCTCACAATCTAAAGCACCAGATTCATTCTTATTTCTTTCATAAGATCGCATTCTCACCAGAACATATATATATATATATATATATATATATATATATATATATATATATATATATATATATATGGGACTGTTCCTGTGAGAATGCACCTTGTGGAGAGAAATGAGAATAAAACCTAGCCATTGGTTCTGATGCATCGTGCGGCTAAGATTGCATCTTGCGCTCAGATTTTGAGTGTAACGCCCCAAAATATACCCTGAAATTTCTTGAATTAAATATTCAATTAAACAAAATTTGTTTTGATTAAAATAAATTATTGTTGGGCTTTGGGCCGAAATAAAATGTGTTTTGATATCTAATATCACAAGCACGATAAATCTCATAAAGATAAACCTAATATGTTGACTATTTGTTTGGTTTTGATTGGGAACCTGAGTACAGACCCAAATCAAGAATAAATGAAGAAATTATTTATGATGTGAACTTTGAAATGATTTATTGAAATAAATCATTAGAACAAATGATATGAATTAAAAGTGCGAAACCTTTTTGAATAAAGATCAACTAAATCAATTTTACTCTGTCAAAGTCAAACACCCAAAAATATGATGTCAGAAAAAGTATAACGAATAAATGTAAAAATTATATCGTTGGATAGATTTTAATTTCACGATCGCAATGGTGCAAACGGATTTCAATTCGGAGAAAGTTGGACCAAAAAGTGTACCCCGACTGGAACCAAAATTGGTCCCAATCAGAGTACTGCTCTGTCGGCGCCTCCTAGCGCACTAGTAGATCCTTAATCGAAGGAATCATCATCATGAGTCCTCTTCTTCCTCACCACTTTATATAAGAAAACCCAACTCATTCAATTCTTCATCATTTTTCTCAAAACTTCTTCCTATTCTGTTGCTCTAAGTGAGTAGAACGCAGTGGTGCCGTCAATTTGGTGTGAAGTCGCCGGACCTAAGAGTTATCGTCGCTGGAAGTTTCGCCGGAAAATTTCTAAAACCTTCGTTAAGCTTCGAGGTAAGCCCGTTGATATATCTAGTGATTAGAATGTTCATATAGATCGTTTCTACGTTCATAAACGGTCGTTTGGTTGAATTTTGTGTTTGACATGTTTGAAGAACCAAGAATCATAAACTTTGAAATTGTTGTTAAAACTACAAATTTATGGTACCAAAATGATCTATGAACCTTGGAGAACCTTTTTGTATACTTTAATTGAAGTTTGGGAACTTAAAATGACATTTCCGCAAGTTGGCTCGAGGTAGAAGACGATGGATAATCGATTATCAACTTGAAAATCGATTATGCATCGTTCTGCAGATTTTTGGAACAAAGCTGAGCAATAATCGACTGTCAGAATGTGACAATCGATTATCAGCCCTCTCAGAAGTTTGATAATCGATTATCAGAGTGTGATAATCGATTATCAACTCATTCGGAACATCAGATAATAGATTATCAGAAGTGACAGTAGACTGTCTCCCTACACTATTGAAGAAAACAAAGCTAGTACTCCCTCTGTCCCCCTAAGATGTTCTCATTTTGACTTTTGGTGGTTTTTAAGGAGAGTTGAAAAAAGGTGAAAGTTTACCATAATACCTTTAATGAAAAATGGGTGGAGTGTATTAAATGAGGTGGGTGAGGTGTAATAAATAAAGTAAGTGGGGGTAGTTGTGGTATTTTAATTGTTAAAAAATGAAATGAGAAGATCTATTGTGGACAAAGAAAAAGGGCTATTGAGAAGATCTATGGGGGACGGAGGGAGTAGTTAATAATTGAATTTCTTACCATATATTAATCAATTATTGTTTAGAAAACATGATTTTTAAACTATGAAATCCTATTTTTGATACCCATTGATTATGATCTTTATAAAGGTGAATTTTCATAATAAAAATGATATTTTTAACAAATAAGATCTTGTGTGATGCATGACGGTAAGCTAGGGTGTTAACACCCGAAGCTAGGCCGCTAATTGTTATTGAATATTATGTTGATTAATGATTATGGTAATAATTATTGATTGATGATTAAATCTTGATAGATGTTCTAATTAAAATGGAAATTATGAATGATTAAATCATAATGAATATATTGATGATTGTGAAAAATGTATGTATTGTTAAGGGTATCTAGAAGACCTCTAAGATATACCCATATTAATGTTGATTTGAAAGGTATCTAGAAGAACTCTAAGATATACCTATATAAGTTAGGCCTTGCGGGTATGATGCCCGGTGGCTATGGTTAAAACGTACGTACGGGATCCAGGAACCAAACTTGAGTACCTACTTGTTTGGGGGTACCACCCACCCTACAGTGAACACTACGCTGTCGGTTTTTGGTTGGCCTTAAGTGAAGGTAAGTTTAAGATTTCCAAAACCCTTTTATCTTAAACTAGGCCTAGCTTAAGGATTATTAGGAGTACTCTGTATACTGGAATATAGTTTAATTAGTTAAACTAAAATTCATTTAAGGGTTGACAAATATTAAAGTGATTGGCCTTAGACTAAGAATAGTTTAAGGATCCTGTTGAATGACAAATGATGAATATACATGTTGGATGATTGAATAATGAATGTTGAAAATTGAATATTGATTATTGAATATCTGAACTGAACATTATGTGCATGATATCAAATGGTTGATTATGAATTGAGATTCAATTTATGTGGATGTTCGACGCATTAGATATGCTTACTCAGCTTTACCGCTGAGCGTGTAGTGTGTTTTATTTACTACACGCAGGTCAATAGAATGATGTGACGTGATCCTGGAGGCAGACGGAGGCGAGATTGTCGGAATGGATGTGATGGTTTTGAATTAAAGAATATAAATAAATTATGTTTGTGATTATGATTTGTTAAGCTTCCGCAATATTGAAAACTCTGCACTGTTTGTGATATGAAAAATATTATTATGATAAATAAAAGTGTTTGAAAAGTTTTACATTTTACGATTACCAAGTTAATACTTTAGTTCGAAAGGGGCTGCAGACCTGGACGGATTAGGGTGTTACATTGAGATAGTGCATTTTCAAAGGATATTGGTGCATTTCGACGTGATGCATTTTTAAACCATTTTGGTGCATCTGATTTTGATGCAATCCTGGCCCTTAGATCTCACAATCTAAAGCACCAGATTCATTCTCATTTCTCTCCTAAGATCGCATTTTCACTAGAACCAATATATATATATATATGTATATATATATATATCTGTGTATATATATATATATATCTATATATATATATATATATATACTCCCTCCGTCCACAAATAAACTTCATGTTCACTTTTCACAGGGTCAAACTTTATTTACTTTGTTGACCTATTTTTGTCATCCATTTGATAAAATAATAGTCATGTCACATCTAATTTTTTAATATGTAATTTTTATTTTTAAATTTTACACTATTTTTCATTTAAAATGATTTGAAAATAACTTCAGTCAAACATCGTAACGTGAAATTTGTTTGTGGATGGAAGGGGTGTAAGTGTGTGTGTGTATACATACATACACACACACACACACAGAAATATTTTAAAACAAACTAAATATATTAAAATGAACCAAATTTTTAAATGAACCGAATATGTCTAGCATATTAAACGAACCAAATATGATTTTTAAAAAAATATCCGACCAAATTTGAATTTGAATTCAAACATCGACTTAACTTAGCGAATAGAAATATTATTAATGAATATTCAATTCATTCGGGTCACTTACAACCCTACTACGGAGTAGTATTCCAAGTACACAATGACCATTTGATACAAAATTAGATTATACACAATTGTTTCCTAAAGCTTAAATAGTACTCTTTTTCTTTCAATTTATTTTGCTTGTATAACTTTTCCCGATCAAAGTGTCCATACTCAGACCAAATTTTATAGATAAAATGCATTAAGATATAATGTGACTTTAATATCTATTAAAGTACAAAATGAAATGGCAATATATCTATTCTATAGGACATTAGATCAAGGTGGGAAACAATGAGATACCAAACACACATACATATGTCTACATAAAATTTACATGTAAGCATAATTGTATCATAAATGTATAAACTGCATAGCCCAAACAGTTAAGGATCTGTGAAATGATCTCAAGACAAACCGCTGCAAGTGGGGGAGAGGAAGATGTAATATCTAATAGTTACGTTTTTTAGGGCATTCGGACGATCTGTGACCTGCTTGACCGCAGTTGAAGCATGCGCCCCCAAAGCTCCTGTAACAAACAACCAAAACCTCTTAGACCCAGAGCAGCAAATGTGAAGTTGATACCTGATTAACCCACTATTTGGCATCACTGGTGGAGTAATTTGGAGCTCAATTTTGTAATTTTGACCTGTTTTAGCTTCTCAAATTCCAAAGAAGAAGGGCATTTTCGTCTATTTGCTAGATTTCGACCCGGGTTATTTGGACCTACTCGAGGTTCTTAACGGGAAAATGTACCATTTGCAATCAGAGCAAAATATGCCTAGGGCTAATGGTTCAGACTTCAGAGGACCCAACTGATACCAAGATAGAGTTACAGGCCAAATTGAATACAATAGTAGTGTATGAAAACATGCATTGGTCAATAACCACAACATACCTATCCCTGTTTCCTCCATAAGATGATGACCGGTTGGACCGTGTGTCACTGATCAGCCAATCGCTACCTCCACTTCTTGATCGGCCACGTCTAAACCCATCATCCCAATCATCATTCCTATCATCATCTGATGACCGGGCACCGGACCAGCCTCTTGAAGGTCTGCCGCCTCGTCGGTCCCTGAAACCTCCTCCTCGTGGGCTCCTATCCCTGTTTGAAAACCTTCCGTAAAAATCACTTGGGGGCCCATCATCTTGCAAAGCAGGCAACTGTAAAAGGCAGAATAGTATCAAAGGATTAATCAGCATGTCACCGCCAATGTTATAAAAACAGGACCGGACTAGCTAGGTGCTAACAGGTGAAAATCGGTAACAAACCGGTGAAGTGATCACTAGACTGGTTTGGATTTTTTTTATAAGTTTTATGCATGGAAAGTTTACACTATGTTTGGTTCTAGAAATTTAGAATGAAAAGAACAGAAAATGGTTTTCTCTCATTTTCCTCACTTAAACATGAGGAATTAGGTTTTCCTCCTCTTAGTACATTTTGGATTCTCATTTTCGTTGCCTTCCACTTTTCTTTTCCTCTATAATCAAACATGAAAAAGTGTTTTCCCTCATTTTCTTTTATTTTCCCTTTCAACCAATATCAACCGGTCCTACTTTTCTTAATTCTCAAATCAGTACTTCATGTCCCAAAAATAGTAAGACAGAGGGAGTAAACTTTTCGCTATTGTTTTTAAGTATATAAATTTTATTTTTTGAATTTATATCAATATTTAAATAAATTGAATATTAAATAACATCAGACAAACATGAATCATAAACAGAAATGTGAAATTTATTTATGGCTAGAGGGAGTATGTATGTTGACATATTTTTAGCTCAACAGTTTTAGTTTAGGGCCTAAATTAATAATTTCCAAAGGGCCTAATGCATAATTTGGACGGGCCTGTATCTCACTCTCGAGTAATAGAATATTCATTTTCGAGTAATAGAACACTCATTTTTTAGCATAATTGAATTTTAGAAAATTTAGTATTATGAGTGCTCAGTTGCTTGTAAATGAGTACTCGTTGCGGATGTACAAGAAACACTGAACAACTGGTTGTACGATATATATTGCGATGCAAATTACATTCGGAGTAATGCGTATCTAAATTTAAAAAATATTGATTTATTCCCAACCAGTCATACACTCATACCCAGTCAAACAATCGAACCCCTAAGGAGTACCTTAACTAGTTCAACAGCCACTCACGTTCTAATAACATTGATCAAATCATACTGGAGGGTCCAATGTTTTGGCCTCAACCAACAAAAACTAAAGCAGCTGACGGCATAATGCGGTGGTAATGAACCATGCATAAGATAGTAAAATAAGAAAGCGTGGGGTGCAGAAAAAAAAACCTTTGTAATCTTGGATATAGTGTTTCCAGGTGGCAATGGCTGATTTAGGAGATCTGCTGCAATTTCCTCTGGAAGGTCAAACACTGCACCGGTAACCTAAACTCAAAAAAGGTGTTATAAGAGTTCATTCACGTGATAAATAGATGTTCCTTTTGGATGTTTACACACAATAAGGGAGTACCAAAACATAATGCAATTAATCAATATGCAGACCTGTTCATCTGCAATTATCTGTATTTTCCCAACTTCATCAGCAGCTGTTGAATAAACATCAGACAGAAACCCAGTAACAGATCTAGCAGACATGAATCCTTGTGAGAAACCAGTTTCACGTGTAAGCTGCAACGTAACCCATCCCTGTAAAGCAAACACCAGCTTCCAAATATTAGGTATAAACGTATAATGCATGCATTTCTTTTATGTGTATCGATTCAATAACTAGATACAAACAAATCAATCAAAAGGGGGCTCTCAGGTAATGTAAGAATACGAGAATGTGAGACTAAGGTTATGTTTTGGAGTATGTTGGTTAATTTAAAAGGATATACATTTGCACAAACACACAAACAGCAACAACAAACCTTGTATAATCTCAACCTCGTCGGGGTTCAAGGGTCAACACGTATGAAGACTTACCCCTGTAATAAACAGAGGTTATTTCTGTTAGACTATTGATAATTGATGCATTGTTTCAGCAGTGTACCTATTGAGTCGGAAGTAGAGGTGAAGAATGATTCCCTGCTCGTTCCAAAAGAGATAGTTTCTGGCCCCTTGAATATGTCATTTGAGTTGATGAAGAGATTCATGGGGATGTTGTACACCGTATCAGGTCGGGAAAGATGAAATGAATGCTCACTTCAAGTTGATTTCTGGTATCTTGTGAGACAGGAACGTGCCACTAAAACTGAAGGGCATGTTTTATAAAGCAGTAGATAGACAAACAGTGTTGTTTGGAACAGTGTTGGGCAGTAAAGAACACCCACGTATAAAAGATGAGGGTGATGGAGAAAGAATGCTTCAGTGGATGCACAGATGTACTATGAGGAATGCGGTTTGAAACAACAATTTCCTTGACAAGGTGGGAGTGGCTTCTGTGGAGGATAAGATGCGTGAACCTAAATTGAGGTAGTTTGAGCATGTGCAAGTAGCCAAGTAGGAGCAATGATCTTTTTGCAAGAAGGTACGAGAGGTTGGTCGTAGTCTCATAGAAAAATTGGGAAGGGGAACAGGTAGAGGTAAACCAAAGAAGAGTAAGAGTGTGGTGATTAGGCAATACTTGACACTGCTGCAACTCAACATAGTCAACAAAGACGTGAACATAGATAAGAGCCTTTGGATGTTGAGGATAAGAGTTGTAGGGTAGACTTTGTTAGTAGTTTTCTGTGCATTTAGGACCTTCAGAGTTAGCTAGGTCTAGTGGCTGGGTTGCTTTGTGGCCCTTTTTGTTTTGTTTCTTTGTTGATAGCTTTTTTCTACTCTCTCATATCTGTTTTCCTTTTTTAAGCTGTTGTCCTTTACTAATATGTGTTTTGTTCTTGAGCCGGTGTATTTTGGAAGTAGTTGTGAAACCTACATAGTACGTACACAGACGACCAACAAAAACATGGGATTTTAATAACTTTATGGAGTAGGATGTTGTTGTTATATTTATTCTGTTCTTAGCTATTTTTAAAAATTTAATATAACAAAATAAAATTAAAACTAGTAAATTTGAAAACCGATTGAAGATTACCATGGTTATCACAAAAACCTGAACATTACCGAGGTTATAACATGACCTGAACCAAACAATGTTATATAGCATTACCAAAATCACGTAACATAGGTAATACCCAACTTTATATCCCCAACGGAGAAATGCCGCCTTAAGGGAAAATTGTATACGATGAAAAAAAAACCTAATAACCTATCGAGTATCGACATCACATCATGACATGAAACACTAATATTTAAGACAAGCATTTCAAACCTGTTCATGAGTGATTAGAGAACGAGAAGAAGGTGGTTTAGCAAAACCACCCAATAATGCAAGTGCAGCAGCCAAAGCATTAACTCCTTGTTCCTCAATCAACTTGTTAGCTGTTGGGATGAAGTGTTCAATAGACTCAGAATGGACTGCTCCAAGGCTAGCTACCACTTGCTCAGCCGATGAGCCCAAAACCTCATTAACTGATGGGGGGCTTACATACTCAAATGTGCATCCCACATCACGCTCTAGAGATTTGACAGTCCGCCTTTGGCTACTAGTAAACATCAGGATGGCATTTCCAACCTTTCCCGCCCGTCCTGTTCGACCAGATCGGTGCACAAACGTCTCAGGGTCATTGGGTAGTTCATAATGGATTACCTGGACAACAAAATGTAAATCAGTGACAGAATATCTTAGAAATAATTTCAAAGGTAGTTAAGTACGGAGTATTAATTGTGGTTCTGAATGACTGGCAACTGTTCTTCAGAACCATTCTTTTTTAGTAACAAAAATAGAGAAGGCAAGATGATGCATTGCTGCTGCCCCGCTTCATGACATTACCTCTTGCTAACAGTTAAATAACATTAAAGATTAATTTAGCATAGCATATATGAATCCTATAGAGCAAATTTGAAAAAAAATATATAAATATTGTCTCTATTTTTATAAAATGACACGTCTTGTGGAACATAAGTTTTCCTTCAAAACAACTATTAATGTGAAGCATAGAGAATACTAATGGTTTAATCACATGACTAATTTAAGGATCTTTGTAAATTGTAATCACTCCTTTTATAACAGAAGTATAGATACCAAGATGATGTGATATTACCAATGATCTAATCGCAAATGTCTACATGTCTAACTTAAGAACCTAACTTGAATATTGATTGAATATGTCTAGTTATAGTTAATGGGTCAGTTAATCTCCTCCCAATTGTATCAAAGTATCCATAAAAATGAGAAGAACAATAGAAACTCATAAGTTTCTTGATAGCATACTAGCATGAACATGCATACCAGTAAATTCATGAACGGCTGGATAAATGGACTTACCAAATCAACATTGGGGATATCAAGGCCACGAGATGCAACATCAGTTGCAACAAGCACTGTGAATTTTCCTTGTCTAAACCCATTTAATGTTCTTTCCCTCTGATGCTGAGAGATGTCACCATGCAATGCTTCTGAAGGAATGATATTTGTCAATGCCATGGAAACCTCGTCAGCATCTTTCTTTGTCTTTGTGAACACTATTGTCTTCCCGCCTTTAGCATATACCTGAAAGGTTATTAAGAATTTAAGGATCCAAGGGAAGCCCATCCCTATTTTGCTACCACTAAGGGTCCTTTTGGAAATAGGAGAATGCTTTGGAACAAAATATAGGGAGGGAATCCAAGTCAAATTTGGAAGGCAAAAAAATGGGGCAAAAAAAATAAAGCAGCACCAATATTAATAAAGATGGCTTCAAAATAAATTTGTTAATTTATATATTGGATCAAACTTATTATTTGTATTTCTACTGTATACATACTAAGAAATCTTGAAAAGCGTTTAAATTTTAAAAGGAGCTAATCAACTTTAATTTTGCTTCATATTTTCCAAGGTAGAACCAGATAACAAAACCTCATTTTTCCTGAATACTTTTCCCCTTTCCCCAGCATTTTCCGAGTTCCGAAATGAAGACATAGCCTGAAGTTGCATACCCGGTTTGTGTGGCAGCAAATTCTATTATTTAAAAAAAATCATTCAGTACAACAATACCGTTACAAGATCACTGAGGATAGTCCGTTTCAAGACTGATGTGGTTGGTATTGCATAAAGTTTAATCCCCTCCGCTAGCTTTTCCTCTTGATCACCAACCTTTGGAGCAAAAACAGAAGAAAAAAATCACTCATTGTGGTTTGAACCCATCAACCAGCAAAAATTCTGATTACATTGCAGATTTGAATAGACAATTAGACATACTTATGATGAAGTTCAAGAAGAGAAAGAAGGATTTAAAACAAAACGCTTTCTTCAATGGAATTTTGCATCAAAATCAAGTGAGATTTTACAGGAAAGCATAGATCAATAACTATGAACACTTTTAACAGGGTTAAACCTGGTTTAGTCCCTCAACTATACTTTTTTTCCATTCTAGTCCCCAGCATTGAAATTAGGACCCATCTTAAACAAACTGTGTCCAAAGCAATGCCATGACCAAATTGAGTAATGATGTTCAGTTGAGGGACAAAATTATGTATTACCCCATTAAAAGATAAGTGAAAATGCTATTCCAGAAGGAGAATTATGGTTTTACCAGATCAATAGTCAGTGGGTTGTTCAGATGTTTCCGTGTTAGTTTCTTTACCCAGGCCGGCATGGTTGCAGAAAACAGCATGCTCTGCCGCTGTGAAGGAAGCTTTTCCATGATTACCTCTACGTCCTGCTCAAATCCAACCGCAAGCATTTGATCAGCTTCATCAAGCACCAAATATTGCACTTCCCCAAGCTTCAAGCTATTATTGTTAATCAGGTCAATAAGTCTTCCTGGTGTTCCAACAACCACATCAACCCCACGGGAAAGTGCACTTTCTTGAGCAACGTATGACACTCCCCCATATATACACGCCGTGTTCAAATATGGAGCCGATTCTTTGATCTCCTTCTCCACTTGCTTGGCTAACTCTCTAGTAGGTGCAAGGACCAACACTCGAGGCAGTCTTCCCCTTCTTTATTACAAAAAGAAAATAAAATAAAAGAGAACGGTTATTATGCTAATGGATTACTTCTTTAATGGTTTTTTTGTTGGAAAAATACCTTTGGGAAAATGATGATTGGTCTTCTTCAGTAATCTTTTTGATTATTGGGATGCCAAAGGCAAGTGTCTTCCCGGTCCCTGTCTTTGCTCTAGCAATCAGATCGCGACCTTCCAATGCAGGCACTAACACAGCTCTCTGCACAACCAAGTGAAAGGCAGAATTAGATAAACAACGAGATGATCTACATTTAAGGAAGTGATCTTTTATGACCCAATGATGAATATCTGCATTCACCAAGAAAATATAAACCTTTTTCAGGAATAATATCTGTAATAGGTAAAAGATAGCGCTCTAAACTTGTTTTCTGGCTTATTTGCTTAACTAGTTGACTAAATATATATTTGGTAGAGATAGATATTTCTGCAACAATGCTTGATATTGATTGAAATTATTGGTGTTTTCATTTTTCTCTTTAAATTAGTAGGCATTTATTGATCCTAAACCTAAAACACTGAGATTTCCATGGATAAATACAGAATTATTTAAACCTTAACTGCAAAAATGAGAAAAAACCATTTTTTTTAACCACAGTTAACTTCAGCAGACACAAATCAATTCCATATATGTGCTCTAATCTAATATTTCAGCTACACTACCTGAATGGGGAAAAGGTGAGTAATTCCTCTTCTCTTGAGACTCTCAACCAGCCGCTGAGGCAGACCTAAATTAGATAGTGCGAGTTCATCTTCATCCTCGCCAGCCCTCGAGCCGCTCCCGTCCTCGTCTAACTCCGATTCGAAGTCGCTCAGAGAATCCCGAGTGAACTCCCCGAATCCCTTGAGAGCTTGCTCACTGATCAGAGACGAATTAGGAGTGGCTATAGCAGACGCCGAGAGCTTATTCAAGCTCGAGCGCTGCTTTAGGCGAACAATCGAAGAAGAATAGGAAGAAGAAGATTTTATAGGATAGAAATGGAGCTTTTGGGCGGAGAAGGGGAAAGACGTAAGAGGGGGAGTGGAATTGGATTTCCTCGACGTTTCTAGCGACGGATTGGGTTGGTATACGGATGAAACGCCGATAATGGAGGAAGGAGAATACGCCATGGAATCAGTCGACTCCGGGTAGTGGCTGGAGGAGGAGGAGGAGGAGCCGAGGAAGAGGTGATAAGGGTGCTGCAAATGAGGGGTTTAAGCGGGGAGAGTGATGAGCGCGTGCATTTATCCTTTTGGATTGTATGGCATACCTGCAAGAAAAATAGGTTGGGAACCTCACTCTCACTTGGGTGTCACATAGAGTGAGTTTACCTCATCTGATCTGATTGAAAAAATCGGTCTGATCTAATTTAATTATATTTAAATTGTTTTTTATCTGATCCGATTTTAATAAGAATAAATAATAAACTAGAAAAATAAGTTGAACGAAACGGATCCTAAATCTCAAGTTCGGAGTTTAGAGGGTGCATGTACCCACATATATTTCATTACCTCTCTTCTTGAATATTTGTCTGGTACTCCTTTTTTGCAATTAAAATTGATAAATTTTGACCATTAATTAAATTAAATTGATATTAGATATTGATACAAAAATATTATTATTAGATTTTGTATATAATAGTTTCAAAATATTATTTTATTTAATCAGTATATTTTAAAGAAATCATCCCAAATAGAAGTAAAACTTAACATTTATCCTCGAAATTGTGATTTCATGTTTTTATTCTTAAAATATGAGTTTGTGTGATGACATTATGACACTGGATAGTGGCATCTCGCTATATCTTTTGGTACTATATATTGACATTATTGGCATTGTACTCGTATTTTGGGAATAAAAACATCGAGCTCATATTTTAATATTTTCTCATGGTTCACTCGTAATTTAGTTCTTTTCCCTATATTTTATAAATTTCATTTAATCATAAGTCAAAGATTAAAAATAATTGTTTGTAGAAAAATGAAATCAGACAAATAATCAAGGATGTAAGTACCATAAAATTTGACAAAAACTAAAATGAAATTAATTCCTACTACTTGAGAAGTTATTGAGAAATTAATTCCTAAAGCATTGACATGCAGCTAGCCAAAATCAATATTGATAGTTGGTACATATCCGACGACAAACATCTATCATGTATGGATAAAAAGAGAAAATGAGTGGAAAGAAATTGGATGAAAAGAAAATAGAGAGGAAAGAAAATGAAGAGAAAATAGAAAGAAAATTATTGTTGTTTGGATGAATGGAAAATGGAGTGAAAATATAAAAAGAAAGAAAAGGTGATAAAACAAAAAGACATTTTTATCTTTATTTATGCTAATGAAACAAAGAAAAAGTAAGGATAAAATTGTCATTTTAATACTTTTCTCCCCCTCCCTCAAGTTTTCTCGCCACATGAGGGGAGAAAATGTTTCTCACCTTTTTTCTCTCCCCTTGCCCTTTTCTCTCCTAAACAAACAAGTTATTTTTTCTTGAGAAGTGTATTTTCTCCTCCCTTATTTTCTTTCCTTCCCAATTCCATCCATCCAAACAAAGGGTTAGTGTCTATGGGTGAAAGAGATAAGAGATCCAAGTTATTAATAAATAGAGAATAAGAATGAGATGGAGAGACGGGCAATCATGCCAATTGTATGGTTAATTTGGAGTGGCCATAAGAAGTTCCTACAAACACTTTGAATTCTCAACATTACCTTATTTGGGATAATAAATAATCTACATTAGAAGAAAATAACACCAAATTGCACAATATTGATGAGTTTACATCTAGCTGAACATGAAGGTTTTTAGTTAACTTCCTTCCTACCCAGGTCGGCCCTGACATTTTATGGGCCTTAGGCCAATTTAAAAAAAATGTTCTAGAATTATTTTTTAAGCTGAGCAATATCACTTGATAAATTAAAATGATTGAGTGTGACATGTTATTATTGTACTACGAATTTTTACTTAAAATTGATAGTTTAAAATCCTAAATTGATTATTTTTTACAATAATATGTTACTAATACTATTGGAGAAAAAATAGTAATGGGCCCCCCTTGTGAAATGAGCCCTAGGCCACAGCCCTCTATGCCTACCCCAGGGCCGGCCCTGTTCTTACCATAGTAGTTTTGATATGTTTCTTTTTGCAGGTCTCTTGCATAGCCGCAACTTCCTGCAATGGGTACTCAAAAATATATTTGAAATAATGTGGGACTCAAGAGTTCTCAGTAGAAAACCGAGGGTACCCCGAGTAATTTTCTACATTTTTTGCAAACTCTTGTCATTGTATTTAAAATTTAATATTTATGACATATTTATTTTATATTTTAAGTTTAAATAATTTTAATGAAAATAGATGTACACAAAAGGGAAAAAAAGATATGGAAGGTATGGAGTACGTATACCACATATTGGGGGTGAAATTTTCAATAAATAACACAGAGTATGGTACTTCATCCCGTCTTTAAAACTCTTCTGTTTTGACTTTTTTCATCAAATAATGACACCCCTTGACCACAAATTATGATAAAAGTATAATGCATTATAATATAAATTGAATATAATTGAGTTCATCTTGTGATCTAGTTTCGATATATCAATTTTTTATAACATTTACTTATTTAGATTATTTTTAATTTGTGGCCAAAAATGTCATTGTTTGATAAAAATCAAAACAGGGAGAGTTTATAGACCAGAGCGAGTACTAAAATATATAGAAATCACTATATGTAGCATTCTATGACACCCAATATTACATATATAGCATTTTTTATTGTTTTTCACACATTTACTTTGAACAATATCCAGTGGCGGTGATACTACAGTGGGAAATTACTATGTTTTAATATAGTATTAGTAAACTCTCTTATATCCGAATGTACAATTTTTCTGCACATGTGCATGAATACTTAATTTTGAATAGCTGAATACTCATTTTCGAATAACTGAACACTAATTTTTAAACATAACTGAATTTTAGAAAAATAATTATTTAGTTAATAAAAAATGAGCACTTAATTACTCAAAAATAAATACTCCCTCCAGTCCATATTAATTGTTTATTATGACTTTCTTGGTACATTGAGAAATGAATGAATATAGACATACTTTATGTCTACATTCTTTCATTTTTTAATGTACCTAGAAAATCATAATGGACAGTTATATGGAGAGAGTATTTAATTAGTGGACTTCCCATAGATGCACTAGAAAGTAGAATTGTATGAGAAAGCATGGTGAATGACTGGATCTAATGATGGCCTCTAGGTGGTTTAGCGAATACTGTATGCAGCCAGTATAATCGCCACCGCACAGCCACCGAATCTATGCCAGTGACCACCCATTATTTATCTAACCTTAAGCGCCTTACAGCGGTTTCGCCTTTATTCTCCCCCTTTCCTCCTACGGTTCAGGCTCGCTAGATTTTCCCCCTCTTCAGAAGCAGTGGGAGAAGCAGAACCCCAGATCCTTTTAAACCCCTCACGCCCTTGCTTTCTTCTCTCTCGATTCCATCTGATCAAGTAAGTGTCTTCATCACTCATGTATGATCGTTCTTTCTTCTGGAAAACCTTCAATTGATTACTGAGCTTTCTCGAGACTTGTTGTGCTCAATATTGGAACTATGTGGATCATGTGGGAGTTTTCTTCCAGCATGATTCCTATGATCATGACATTTTAACTAACAACTGCGGACAAAAATCTGATCTATGTCTTGGTTTTCTTTGATGTATCACCAGGGTGGGCATTTTTTGAGTTAGGGTTTTTTTTTTCCTTCAAGAAATGGATTTTGGATCTCCTTCAGCTATATGAAAAGGCAAAGTATAGAATGTCTGGACACTTGGTGAAGGTTTGGGCTTAATGTTGACTGTTGGTTTTCAATTCAATTTCATTCCATCCCTCGTTTGGTTTGTCAATATGTTCATTTTGTTCTTGGATCTTTCCTAGACAGGTATGATATGGTAGTTGACTGATTCTCTTCTAGAAGAAATGGGGCATATATTCTACATACTTATTGCTTTGCCGTGCACCATCACTGCCATTTGGTTGGCGATATTCCACATATATCGGCACCTTTTGAATTACACTGAACCTACCTATCAGAGATACATTGTGCGCATCATATTTATGGTTCCTGTGAGTAGTAAGCCATTTATTTGCACATATTAATTATTCAAGCATATAAATTGTCTGTTCTATTTACAAGGCACTTGAGAAATGATTGGATAGCAGCTCTCAACATATGATTCTAACTTATTTCAAACCTACTTGCAACCACAGTCTTCTTCCGAGAACATTCTTACAATTCACAAGAGTAAACGCTTAGGATCAGGTTTTAGGGTGTCAAGTTGTTACAACCTTATCTTCCTTTTCACATTTATGAAGCCTATTAGAATGTATTGTTGTATTGAGGGTTGACTAATTCCCAAACACTTAAGTTATTTGAGTTGATGGGCTGGCTAAACTAATCAATACAACTTACCAGGATCCAAAGGGTTCACTTCAACTTGATGGTGTTAATGGGTTTTTGTAAATGAGCGAGTCTGCAAGTGTGCATGTATGTATTTGATGCTGACATAGGTAGGATATGTAAGCATTTGAATGTGGTCAATCTGTACCAGTGTAATACATTACCATTCAGGCAATGTTCTTGTGACAATTCTTAATTTCACGATGGATGGTTTTTACCATTCTACCTTTTTTGTCTTTTGCAGGTTTATGCACTTACATCTTTTTTGTCACTTGTATTGAACAGAAGTGCAATATATTTTAATTCCTTGCGAGAAATGTAAGTGCAATATATTCCAATTATTTGGTCAGAATTTAGAATGTTGTTATATGTAGTTACTCTTCCACTATGTGTCTTAGATTTCTGATGTTTGTTGTATATTGTTTACACTCTGCACCTACTTGAGAAAGAAAAGAACTGTCGAAGTTTAGATTTCTTTGTTTCCTGTTACTCTAAGTAGTGGGTGTGGTATAGTAATTTTAGTTTTAGATGATAATATGATTGGGAAAGAAAATAGGTTTTTCATAACTTGTAATGTCACATCTTTTATTTGTAGATGTTAGTAATTTTCCTTCCTGATCTGCGCTACATCAACATATACAGAGTATATTTTAAAGGGTTGGGTGTATAGATTAGGGGGGCACATAGATTGTTTCTACCAAGACTTGAAGTCATAGTTGTACCTCAAGAGTGATGTCTTTCCACTACATGACTCCAGTGGCTTGATACTTTGTATTAATATTTGATATGGAGGGTATCAATCAGTGTTGATCCGTTTTATTGAAACTCACAGATAAGGATAAAAACCAGATACATTATAATGAAA